GATCTCCTCCCCCAGGATCTCTGCACCAGTCCAGGCCAGAACTCTCCTGCGTCCCTGGCCAGTAGCAGCCGAGGGAGCAGCGGGAGTGCTGGCAGCCATGGGAGGCTCTGAGGGAGCGTTGGGGTCACTCATGGCTCCCTTGGATGCTGCTGTGTGGCGTGAGGCTTACAAAGCTCATCACGTGGCACAAGCCCTTCACCTGCTGCCTGGAGTTTTAGGCTCTGCCGGAGAAAAGGAGCAGGGGAGAACCGGATGTGGCCAGAGCTGTCAGAACTGCAGCTATGAGAGGCTTCTGGAGGCCAATTATTTCAAATTAGCAGCAGTGGAGCATCCACACTAACCTATTTCAAAATAACAAATTTCAAAATTATTGTTATACTCTGAGGAAAGCAGGAGTACAGATTTCAAAAGAGCCAGCCCATTATTTGAAAAAAAAACCCAACCGCTTAATGAAAAAATACTTAATTAAAAAACTCCCAACTCAGTCTACTCCCTATCCCCTACTCTTTTACAGTCTTCCTATGTGCAGCTATTACTGCAAAAGAATGATGGCTGTTGAAGACATGGGACAACTGTTAGCTATTATCAAACATCAGCAATAATGAATTTTAGTGTGTAAAGAATGTTTGATTACATGTATCTAACAAACAGTTATGGAAGTTGTCAAAGAAAACTCTGGCTGCTTCAAATAGTGACACTGAACAACACAAGAATTTGATCCACTTTTGCTCAAGAACTTTGGGGCAAGAATTGCTTGAACTTTGCATGTTATACAGTGGCAACAGCAACCTATTTTTGTCTAAAAAAACCCCTTTTTTATGAATTTACACTGAGTTTCAGGAGAGCCATTCAATTACATTTAAAATGATAACACCATGTGTCTTCTCCCATGAATTTTGGACATGCATAATCGTTAGAATTATCATAAGCACCTAACCCAGCACACTGACATGGGGATCTGAAGAGTGGCATTGACTTCAGTGAGGGAGTTGGTTCAGACCTTTATTTGTTTAACTGGCCTAGGATTCACAACCAACAGTCTCAACCTTAAAACAAAGCAAAAATTGTAAAAAACCATAAATAATATTCACCTGAAAAATGTCTACTTTGGGATTTTTTGCATGCTATTCTTCACTATTTAGTGCTTCCTAGATTAAACTCAAATCATTGGGGAGCCGGGGGACTAATGAGTTAATGCAGCCATAATACTCCATTTTTCTTTTAAATAGGTTTGTTGCACACTTGAAAATATGCCAAGACTGGATTTGTGGGACAAGAAACTGTGGCCTTGAATGTTCAAATGAAAAGGAACGAATTGGAAACAAAATGGACAAGACAAGGTGGCTTAGCAGCATCAGAATGTTTCTGCTGTGACTTTTCCCCATGATTCATGGATCAGCATTGTTACACTAACTGTAGTGATTCTTTTGCAGCACCGGGCCTCCTTAGGTAATTCTGGACATTTTAAAAAGTGGTGTCTCAATACTTTAAACAGAGTCTTTACTTGGATTTGATAAACTTTTGAATAAACCTGTTACCCCAATAAGCAATCTAAGTTCAAAGCAGGACACGTTGAAAACTTCACTGGCTGTTAGTTCAGAAAGTCAGTTTGCATATACAGGCAGTCCCCGGGTTACATGGATCCGACTTACATCGGATCCCTACTTACAAACGGGGTGAGGCAACCCTGCACTAGCTGCTTCCCCCCAGCAGACCAGGGAGACGCGAAGCTAGCGCCCCTCCCGCATACCAGGGAGACGCGGAGCGGCTTTTCTCAGCAGACACCTCAGCTTGAGAATAAAGGACTGAGGGAAGTGAGGTGTGGGAGAATAAAACTGAGCTCTGGAGAAATGTTTGGCTAGAGTTTTCCCTACAATATGTACCAGTTACGACTTACATACAAATTCAACTTAAGAACAAACCTACAGTCCCTATCTTGTACGTAACCCGGGGACTGCCTGTATTATAAATTTACTGCAACTTAAATTCTGTTCAAAACAGTCCTATAGAAAGGGATCGTTTTGTAAGGTGTGGGTATTTTTTTGTTTTTAATTTTCAGAGTCTTAGAGTAGGGTAGCTAGAGCTAATCCAATGTAAATCTAGAGTATTAATAATTTAATAGGATACTTTGCACAGTGTTTCAATTCAAGTTATGTACACATGTAAAAGCAATACATTGAGACTGACCTCTTGCCATTAAAAAGTATGCAAATCAGTTTGCTGGGGGTCATTCTGTTTTCATTTACACAAAGGAATTTAGTGTACTTTCTAGAAATCAAACTTTCCTAAACCAACTCCATGTTCCATGTTTAGAAGTCTTTAGCTACTAAAATCTAGCTTTTATAGAAGACAAAGAGTACATTAAATGAAAGTAGCAGAGCTATTTTTACTATATTTTAAAATCTAGAAGACTTACGTGACTTTGATCAGGTCCTTAACTCAAGCAAGTTTTATTTTTCTTCATTTAAATCATTGTTCTAGGGTGGGGTTAGGGACCAGGCGTCCAGTGTGCAGGTTGCCCCAGAGAGAGAAGACAACCCCCCAGCCCTCTTTTACCACAGCAGCTTGGGGCCAGGTAAAAAGTGCCTATCCATGGCCTCTGCAGCTGCAGCGGATATAGCCAGGTGAGGGTGACAGACACACAAACTCTCTGAAATATATAATAGGTACCCTTTCTCCACTCCTGTCCCCTGCTGGCACAATGAGGTTATAGCTGTCTTGGTCCCTTTGCTTCTCCCCTTGGTGATTCTGCAGTACAACTGTCCCTCCTACCAGACCCCCTACCTTTCCATTCTATGAAAAACAATCAAATTCCATGCACATCCCATTATTCTGGCACAACCAAACTCTGACCTTATTTAAGTTACAATAATACGAAGCTGTATACCAAATTTTGTGGTCCTAGTTCTTACCATTTCGGAGTTCTTGAACAAATGGACACCACTTTAAGATGCAATCTCTGTCTGGGTCACTTTTTTTCACTGATAGTAAAGCAAGTGAAATACTTATTAGGTTCTCATCCCTCCTTTTGCCAGGATTGTTCCCTACATGGATTTAGACCCCAATTTTTAACAGTTTAAACAATGCTCAGCTTTCCATTAGCTGAGGTGATAGAATCTGATTTTGCAACTGGGAAGCAGGAGGTAGTTGAGTAACTTTCAAACAAAACATTAAAACTATTTAGCAAATATATTTTTATATACGCATGTATATTTTTATTTCATTTTAAATGTTTACAAACAGAATACACACAGCAATTGCATCTGAGTTTATACAAACTATACATTATCTTTACATCACTCAAACTCATTAAAGGAATACCAGTGCAGTTTAGAACTATTTTATACAGTCCAGTGAAACAGCTCCATACATTCAGTTTAGTAAGATTGTTCCATAACTTGCTGTGGCTAGGGGCTGCAAAATATGGCCCTAAAATAGCATCCGTTGCTCTGTGGCACAACTTAGTTAAGAAAAGATAACTTATAAGGCCTACGTCTGCCACAGAATTTCCGAAGATATTGGTGGGAATTTAACACACAGGAGTTGTCCAAAGACTGCAAAACTAGTCATGAAGGGGAACCGAGAGTTTTTTTTCAGAGTTTTCCTTCAATCCTGACAGGAGTCAAAAAGTCTGGCACAAAGTGAAGAAAATGTCTCCTTTTCTAATTATAAAAATGATCTGCTGGATTGCTTGTTCCTCTGCCCTCTGACCTGTCTCCCTCTTACTATTTCCTCCATTTAGCTGATCTTCTCCCATCTTCCAGTCCTCTTTTGAAAGCTGGTTCAATCTTCCCTTACCTCTTTTCTTTATTTGGTCTTTGTCTCATTGCCTCTGAAGAGATTCTGGAACCAGAGAGACGTCAGCAGAAAGGCATAAGTTATTGGAAAGAACATGAAAGCTCATATCAAGGTGGGTTGACTTTAGACAAAGGAATGTGACTATATAAGCACGATGTCAGCAGAGACGGGATTAGTGACCATTTCACTAACTTTTCAAGTTCAACAGGAAGATAGATTGCCTAAAATGTCTTGTACATGGCTAGTATCAGCCAACCAATGTGCGACAGTGTGGGAAAACTATTCCAATGAGAATCATTGGCCCAGTTGGGTAACTGTGTGGCACTGTGACCTGTCTAGAATTTGGGGCCTGCAAAGGACTGGTCCTCAGATGAAATTAGAGAAGCCTTTGATCTCCAGTGGCAGTTTCTGCAACTAGGAATAGCTGGAGTGCAGCTGTAATTTGGGCCCTATAACTTGTATGGTGCAGAGTCTTAATGCCATTCTGGGTTTCCTCTTACCAAGGGGAAATTTTCAAGTAGCTGGATGAGCTAGCTTTGAGCTACTTTGCAACACCAGAATGAGGCGCAAGTATCTAGCCTTCCAATTTTTGAAGTACAGAAGTGAGCCCTCAGATTCTCTTGTTTAATCTAATTTCTCCCATATATAGTCCCTAAATGCACAGGAAACCACTATGCTTGTCCTGACACACTGTCTCTAGAAAACCATAAAAACCGTCCAATGACATAGGGTCAAACTGAAATACACAGGTAACTGACATCTTGCCACTGAATTCCATAGGATCAGGATTTGGATAATTAAATTCAGAGCCTAATAGCCAAACATATGCTGATACACTGAAAATGGCTTTTCTAGCATGCCTTGTTCTTCAAGACTCTATAAAAGTGGTCCATGAAACAATGCGAAGCTGTGATTTCAGCTATGTCTAGACTGCAGAGTTTTTCCAGGATACTCTAGTATCCTGGAAAAACTCTGCCATATCCAAGGTAGGCATCTGCTTTTCCAAAAAAAATTTCAGAAAAGCAGATGCATTTTTTCAGCATCCCTGTAAACCTTGTTTTACGAGGAAGACGAGATGTTCTGAAAAAGGGTTTTTTTCCCCAACATTTGGCCCAGTGTAGATGGGCCGAATGTCAGAAAAGCGTCTTCTGAAAAAAGAATTGGAAAAAGATACACAAATTGCAGTTCACAATTTGCGTATATTTTTCTGAAAAAATATCAGCAGTGTAGACATCGCCTTCATGTAGAAGTTGTGTTGGTTGAATAGTCTATTTCCATGTTCCTGTTTTGAAGTACAAGAGATCATAGACCCATGAATCCAGTCCATAAACATGAATAGGATACATCTTTGCTTTCATAATCAAAACTTTCAGTTTCAATCATTTCGCTTCACAAAAGCATTGTGTGTAATTTGACATGTATTTTGTGTTAATGATTTGTGCCTGCAGGTTTTTCTATAACTTTACCACAATACAAACAATGAGTAGTCCTGTGGCACCTTAGAGACTTAAGTGTTTTTAAAGTTACAGATTAGAATGGCTACACCTCTGAGAATTTCCCACAGTAAGTTCAAACAAACGTCTCATTTATTCAGATATGTCAGTTTTCAGATCTCATTTAAATGAAAAAGCCAATTGCATATTTCCACACATTTTTCAGGATATCTGTGCAAAACAGATTAAATCCATTTAAATGTACATGTGTTTCTGTGAAGATCTTATTGTTAAAAATCATTCACATTTTCTGTCTTTAATTTCTCCCTTCCTTGTAATATTTTCTCTTCTGTCTTCTTATTTAAAAGGGATTTACATCGACAATAAGCAAGTAACAGATTTGGGTGAAAGACCATATGAAAGCAACAGTATCATAACAGATGTGATTAGTGTAACATTTGACAAAAATGCTAACAAGTGTCACCTGTAAATCTAAAGGACTGTAAATATGCCAGGATTTGAATGCCCCATGTCAATATAGCTATCTTTAAGCTGAGCAATCTTGCTATTATGCTTACAATGGAGATTTGCATGTGAAAAAGCTCCAGTAGTGGGCCTTGATAGTTCAAACTCACCATGCCAACTGCATTTTCAGATACAGAGGGCATCATGAAAAGAATCACTTTATCCACAGGTCTCCACCGCAGTTCCCACAGACTCCATTCCTTCGCACGGTGTGGGAAATATGGTTATTATAGAATTCTACATGATGGACGAACACCTTGTTAATTTGTAACAGTAGCCACTGTAGCTTGATCTTCTTTACACTTGTGAAGCTTCATAATTCTTAATGGCTTGTTCAGGGGAGCTGATTCAGTCAATTTCAATAGCATTTGAACGAACCTGCTTAAGTAGGAGCATCAGGACCTCATTATCTACTGATTTGAACTGTTGTCTGACATTCCAATGGAATTTTCCATTCTGTACCTCTCAGGAAAGCTAGTGAAGTTGTTAGATTTTTTTTCTTCATTCGTAATGCAACAAAGAAGACAGGGAAAGTCAGTAATGTTTTCACCTCATCTTAAGGTTACCTGTGAAAATTATGAGAGCACAATATCAGTTCTGTGCCCTTTAGCTTCATAACCACTGTTCATCTTCGTGAAATCAAAAGTATCCTGCTCATACTGGTGCTAGCGACATTGACTTCAGTGGGGTTATAGTTCTGATTTAATTCAGTGTATGAAAGATCAGGATCAGGTTTACACAGTGCTGAAATGGCCTGGAATTTTATTGCCAGAGATCTGGGTAAACAGTAGAATCAGAGCCTGCAAACTTCATACACTTGAGAGCCAGTCTTGATTTACAGGATCTGAAAAAACATTAAAGACACAGTATCTAGTATGTTTTGACCCTTGTTCTAACTCTGTTACTTGGGGAAAAAAATGTGGACCAGAACCTTAGATGGTGTAAATTTGTATAGCTCCACTGACATCAGTGACAATATGCTGAGTTACATCAGCTGAGGATCTGGCCTTGTGTCTTGGTGGCTTCTCTGGGATATCTGGTACTTTATTGCATGGATGGGGAAACTCAGGTTCGGGAGGGTTTGGTGTGGCCCCTGGTTTGCTTGGGTTTGGTCCCCGAGGCTCAGAGCCCCCCTCCTAGCATTGGGGAGCCCGTGCTGGTGCTCCATCCCTTCTTCCCCCACCATGCGGCTGGAGCACACAAGATCTACTAGCATGGGTCCCCCTAGGGGGTGTGTGAGGAATATGAGAAGGGTCTCTTTGCTCCGCGTCTCCCTGGTCTGTTTATGTGGGATGCAGCTAGTGCCCCCCCCAGCAGACCAGGGAGATGTGGAGCAAAGCCCGGGGCCTGTGGGAGAGCAGGTGGGGCGCTGCCGATTGGTCCCAGGCGCAGGGGGTGGGACCGAGACGCGCCGCGGTGCCGCCGCCTGGGTCGTCCGCGGCTTTGCTCCGCGTCTCCGTGGTCTGCAGACCAGGGACACTCAGAGCAAAGCTGCGGAGGACCTGGGCGGCGGGACCGCGGCGCGTCTGGGTGGTCCCGCCGCCCGCGTCCTCCGGGGCGAGAAAAGCCCCGTTCGTAAGTACGGATCCGACATAAGTCGGATCCGTGTAACCCAGAGACTGCCTGTACAGGGGGTGTGAATAGAAGATGCTACATATATTATGCTTGGCTAGTGGCATACATGCTTCCTACAGCATGATTTTGAATAAAGCATTTATTGTAAGGACTATAGCACAGTATCAGCAATGTCTTTTGGCTTTCATAGAAACCACCTAGGATTAATATTTACAGAATCCATATTACCTCCCAGCCACAAATTAGTTTGAAAAGGGAAAAATGGAAACAATGACTAGATATGACCATGCCATCTCTGATCAGATCATGCCTTTTGAGAACTACTGTGCTTTCCCACTCCCAGAGTGTCCAGATTACAGGGTTAAAAAATAAAATGAAATAGTTCAGCTACCTTGACAAGATCAGCTGAGACTACAGCAAACTGATTCTGGAGTCCAGCTGTTGAAGGTACTCAAGAACTCCATAAGGAATGGTAGGATTCCACATCCTAAGGGACAGTGAGTCGAAATGGAAAACAAGATTAACAGAATGTTTAATTTGCAAACTTCCAGCACTATTTCTTTGCAATAGCTGCCTTTCATTTAAAGTTTGCATTTCTTCCCTCCCTCATTTTAGTCCAAGGTTCACAAATCCATATTCTTTTCTTTGGAAGAGGAAAGGGAAAACGATGCACTCAGCAAGTGCTCTCTTGTAACGGAATCAGTTACATTAATCTCTTGGGGAGCAGTACTCAGATCCCACCAAAACCCCTGACCCTGAGTATCTGTCAGAACTCACAAGTCGGTTCCCCCAAAGCATTGGTCAGCCATCAAAAGGGCTTGCCCGTCTGCCTGCCTTTCAGAACTGGCAGCCTGACATGGCACACAAGTTGATGTAATGGGAAGTATTAACAAAGCAGCTATTTAAAACACAATGCAATGGGAAAACTACAAGAAGTTGCCCAGGGAAATGTGTGAGGATAATAAACCCTGCTTTCCAACATCAGTGGCTTAGGGAAGAGTAAAGATTTACTGTCCACACAGTCTTCCCCTCAACAGCCTGTTACACTTTGGCTGTGTCTAGACTGGCAAGTTTTTCCGCAAAATCATCTGCTTTTGCGGAAAAACTTGCCAGCTGTCTACACTGGCCACTTGAATTTCCGCAAGAACACTGACGATCTCATGTAACATTATCAGTGTTCTTGCGGAAATACTATGCTGTGTTCGTTCGGGCAAAAGCCTTTTTGCGCAAATCATTTGTGCAAGAGGGCCAGTGTAGACAGCACAGTATTGTTTTGCGCAAAAAAGCCCCGATGGCTAAAATGGCGATCGGGGCTTTTTTGCGCAAAAGCGTGTCTAGATTGGCACGGACACTTTTCCGCAAAAAGTGCTTTTGTGGAAAAGCGTCCGTGCCATTCTAGATGCTCTTTTCCGAAAATGCTTTTAATGGAAAACTTTTCTGTTAAAAGCATTTCCAGAAAATCATGCCAGTGTAGACGTAGCCTTCATGTAAAATCACCACTAGCAAAATGTTTTAATTAAACTATGCTGTCAAGACAAACAATGGCATTTAGACTCTCAGGCTGTATCTACATTGAATGCTTCTTGCGCAAGAACAGCTGTTCTTGTGCAAAAACTTGCCAGCTGTCTACAATGCACGCATGTTCTTGCGCAAGTAAATTTACAGTATAGCATTGGAAAACAGGGCTTCTTCCAGAAGAGTTATTCCTCTCCTGATGAGGAATAAGCCCCCTTGTGCGAGAGCTCTTCCACAAGAGGGCCATGTAGACAGGCAACATGAATTTCTTATGCAAGAAGCCCCTATGGTTAAAATGGCCATCAGAGCTTTCTTGCACAAGAGAGCATCCACACTGCCAGGGATGCTCTTGCGCAAAAGCACATGGCAGTGTGGACATGCTCTTGTGGAAGATTTTTTGCACAAGAACTCTTCTGCAAAACAGTTCTTGTGCAAGAAGCCTGCAGTATAGACGTAGCCTCGGATTACAGGGTTCATGCGCTTTTGGCTTTTTGAGGTAGGTTCCCATGTGTAGACTTTTGGGGCTCAGTTCTGATTGTGGAACAGCTGCCTCCCCTTGAGTCCCTTTGGCTGGGAAGAACCCTAGAATGCAGAGTGGCCCTTTTAGGCAGGAGGTAGGGTCACATCTCCCTCATCTCAGCCCACACAGCAGGTCAGGGACATTGGTGTGTGTGTGTGTGTGTGTGTTTCAACTTGTCCAGTGAGATGCTCAAAGCAGGCATGTAAGCAGCACAGTCTAGCTCTTGTTGTCACAGAAGGGGTTAGTGCCAACAGAGTGCCAGATATTCTGGAGACTTAGTTGCTGCTTTTGGACTACTGACATTTTTGGATCCTGTTACAAAATCTGACAAATCTACTAAAACCAGCATCAGAACAAATCCTGACTCAGTTTATAGATCTAAGCTACAATGACATAGTCCAGAGACTTACGCCACACTCTCGATGTGGGGACATTTTCTGAGGCTATCAGTCAGCTTCTGAGCTCCAGCATCAGTTATCTTGTTACACTGAACACTGAAGGTAAAACCACATTTGTTGGCTATTAGTCTAGGACACACAAACCATCATAGTAATCAAACATCATCCTTAAGATAAAGGGAGATATAGGGCATTAATTTAAGAAAACTAGTCCTCAAAGGGAAACTCAACCTGCCATCTGGTTCTTGATTAAAATAGTCAATTTCCTGAGTCATCATCTCTTCAGCCCTCTCAAGTTTTATTTCCTTTCATATTGAATAGGGGGTACGGGAAGGTTTACTAAAAGCCAAGGGGACACGGGGACCGAAAAAGGTTGGGAATCCCTGCACTACACAATGACTTATGAAGTATCTGAAGTCAGTGGCACTGGAACAGTTTCTAAGGTGGGAATGCTGAGTTAGGCTGTCTCCTTTACCCCAGTTTTGTGCCCCTCTGTTGTTTGTCAACTCTCCCGACCGGACCTACTGGATATAGATCCACTGACAGGGCAGGGGAGAATGGGGGCAGCTGCTCCGGGGCCTGGTTATTCAAAAGGTTCTGGAGCTCCCAGCTGCCACCTCAGCTGCTGTTGCAGTGGTGGCAGCTGAAGCCCCAGGCAGTTTAAATCACCTTTACATCACCACTGTGAGCTGGCTGGATGTGTGTGGCCATGGCATGGCTCAGGTGGCACTGAGGGCTGGCTTCCCTCACACTCATCCTTCTGCCCAAGGCCCCTCCTCTTCTGAGAGCATGGAGCCACCCCCTACCCCTTCCTTGCCCAGAGGCCCAACAATTCTTTCAGCCCCGAGTGGATGCCATTTGCAGCAATGGTGTCCAATCCATAGGGTCCACAACAGTTGGCAACCACAGCCCCTCATAGCCCCCAGACTGGAGCCACAACTGGGGACAACTGCTGAGCACCAGACCAAGGCCAGAAGCAGAACCCTAGACCAGCAGTGGGATCCTGGGCAGCAGTTGAGCCTCCAGGACGGGTGGTCTGGACCCTCAGGGCCAACAGGCTGCAATGGGGCCAGCGAGCAATGGGATCCCAAAGGTGGCAGAGTCGTCAATGCCAACAAGCGGCAGCAAAGCCAATAGGGCCAGGGAAGTCCAAGGCCCAGCAGGACCCCCAGGGCTGTCCAGAGACCTGAACCTGGGCCAGCCCCTAGGAACAAGAAAGCTGAGTGCAAAAGCTGGGAGTGCCGCAGCATGCCCCTCACATTTGCTTCCTGCACCTATGTCTGAAGTGCTATGAATTGCAAATCCCTTCAGACTTTGTGTGGTTCAGTGGCTCCCAGACATGCAGTTAGAGCTGGGACTGTCCCTTAAACCTTTCTAATTTTAGTGACCACATCTGTACCCAGCACACACACATTTCTTCTGCCTGAGGAAACTGGGGAATGCATACAGCTTCTCAGCTTCTTTCTTTAAATAAAATAAACAAGATAAGCCTGTACATGCCTTTAAGAATATCACTAGCCCTCCCAAAATTCTGTGGTTATCACTGGTGGAGTGGGTAAGAGTTATTTATGTTTTGAAAGGAGGAGCATAATTGACTTTCAGACTTAACCACAAATACCAACACTTGATTAGGCTCCATCTTGTAATCATTCCCCTCATAGCTCCCTGGGTTTCCTCTTCCTACCCCAATCTGCAATCACAACGCTCTCTTTAAAAGCGACGAGGAGTCCTGTGGCACCTTATAGACTAACTGAAAAGGTGCCACAGGACTCCTCGTCGCTTTTGCAGATTCAGACTAACACGGCTACCCCTCTGATACTTAACGCTCTCTTTAGTGATTTCCCCCCACATTCTCTCCTTCCCCTCTGTTCCCATGAACACAGGGGTGCAAATTCCCAGTCTCCACGGATTTGAAACGCCTCAGCTGATGGTAACAGCTCAAGCAATAAAATATCAATCTACAAAATCATATTTTATAGTATTTCAGCAAGCTTTTCCCCCCTTTATTCTCTCTGAAGATTTGATACTTACTGTAGAACCCTTAAAGATGCCATTGCAGGAAGTATTCTTGCAATATTTTCTGCTCCAGCATCACAAATGTAGTTATTGTACAAACTGAAGAAAACAAAGACAGCAGGACCACAATTAAATACATCAAAATGTTCACTGGTAAATTAAAGAAAATAATTACAGACATGGCCTTATTGAAGGCACAGGAACAAACCATCCCAATGTAGAGTTACAAAAGCAAATATGGTAGGTGACCCTCTTGGCTTAACAGTGAAATCCTTGGTGACCTTAAACACAAAAGGGAAGCTCACAAGAAGTGGAAACTTGGACAGATGATTAGGGAGGAGTATAAATATAGGCTACGTCTACACTGGCATGATTTTCCGGAAATGCTTTTAACGGAAAAGTTTTCCGTTAAACGCATTTTCAGAAAAGCGTGTCTAGATTGGCAGGATGCTTTTCCGCAAAAGCACTTTTTGCGGAAAAGTGTCCGTGGCCAATCTAGATGCGCTTTTCTGCAAAAAAGCCCCGATTGCCATTTTTGCGATCGGGGCTTTTTTGTGGAAAACAAATCTCTGCTGTCTACACTGGCCCTTTTGCGCAAAAGTTTTTCGGAAAAAAAACTTTTGCCCGAACAGGAGCAGCATAGTATTTCCGCAAAAGCACTGACAATCTTACATAAGATCGTCAGTGCTTTTGCGGAAATTCAAGCGGCCAGTGTAGACAGCTGGCAAGTTTTTCCGGAAAAGTGGCTGCTTTTCCAGAAAAAGTGGCCAGTCTAGACACAGCCATATAGATTGAGAATACAAGGGAGCAATCAGGAAGACAAAAGCACAATTGGAATTGCAGCTAGCAAAGTATGTGAAGGGTAATGAGAAAGGTTTCTACAGGCATGTTAGCAATAAGAGGGTGATCAGAGAGGGTGTGGGGCCCTTACTGGATGAGGGAGCTAACTTAGTTGATTTGGGAAAAGCTTTTTTTACTCAATGCTTTTTTTGCCTCTGACTTCACAGACAAGATCAGCTCCCAGACTACTGCAGTGGGCAGCACAATATGGGAAGGAGGTGGACAGCCCTCACTGGAGAAAGAACAGGTTACAAATTATTTAGAAAAGCTGGACATACACAAATCCATGGGGCTGGATATCATGCATCTGAGGGTGCCAAGGGAGCTGGCTGATGTGATTGCAGAGCCATTGGCCATTATCTTTGAAAACTCATGGTGATTGGGGGAGGTCCCGGATGACTGAAAAAAGGCAAATGTAGTGCCCATCTTTATAAAAGCAAAGAAGGACAATCCCGGGAACTACAGACCAGTCAGCCTCAACTCAGTCCCTGGAAAAATCATGGTGCACATGATGCTGTTGCAAAAAAAGCAAATATGATTCTAGGTTGTATCAACAGGTGTGTTGTAAGCAAAACTCGTGAAGTCATTCTGCCGCTCTACTCTGCACTAGTTAGGCCTCAGCTGGAGTACTGTGTCCAGTTCTGGGAACCACATTTCAAGAAAGATGTGGAGAAATTGGAAAGGGTACAGAGAAGAGCGACAAGAATGATTAAAGGTTTAGAGAACATGACCTATGAAGCCAGGCTTCATGAACTGGGCTTGTTTAGTTTGGAAAAAAGAAGATTAAGGGGGGACATGATAGTGGTTTTCAAATATCTAAAAGGGCGTCACAAGGAGGAAGGAGAAAATTTGTTCCTCTTGGTTACTGAGGACAGGACAAGGAGTAATGGGCTTACAGTGCAGCAGGGGAGGTTTAGATTGGACATTAGGAAAAAATTCCTAACTGTCAGGGTGGTCAAATATTGGAATAAATTGCCAAGGGAGGTGGTGGAATCTCCCTCTCTGGAGATATTTAAGAACAGGTTAAATAGACATCTGTAAGGGATGGTGTAGACGGAGCTTGGTCCTGCCTTGAGGGCGGGGGCTGGACTCGATGACCTCTCGAGGTCCCTTCCAGGCCTATTATTCTATGATTCTATGATTCAAATAATCCATTTTGAAGCACTTGGAAGCATGGATGGTGGGTGAAGCTTCCACTTTGGGAGGCAGTATCTCCTCTGGCCAGACACTATCCTCTGCCCTGCCAGACACCCTCCCCAACTTCCCACTGTTTCCCTCCCCTTCCCAGTGCATTCCATGTCCCGTGTTCACTGCACGCTTATCCCCTTCCAGACAAATCCTAGTACCCAAGCAAATTATTATTGGAAAAAAAACCCTCCACTTTTTTGCAATTTCTTTCACAACAGAATGGGGACTGTTTTGTACCATGTGCCAGAAATGCAGAAGGTACCTAATTAATAGCACTAAATTTGGGAATAAGAAATGCCAGTCACATTTTTTTCATGTACTCTGATAGTTGACCTACAGGCAGCTTGCAAACACCCCTAGGACTCCTCTCATTGATTCTGGGGAACACAGAATGGCAAGCACCAGCTAAAGCTAATAGAGAAATCTCTGTCCTTTCTTCATACAATCAGGCAAAGTGTCAGGCCTCACCCTCAGCTGGCATTTGCTTCCTCTTCCCTTCCCCTCCTTCCCCAAAGAAATGATTAGAATCAGACTGCAAAAGTTGCCACCTCATTTTCACTTCCTTGCACAAACAATTTGAGGGCTTCCATGGTTGATGTTTTCAACAGCAGTAAGCACATCAGATAATAAGGGTACGTCTACACTAGCTCGTTAGTTCGAGCTAGTTAGGGTAATGAGGGCAAGCAGAGTTGCAAATGAACCCGGAATTTAAATATCCTGGGCTTCATTTGCATGTTCCCCGGGCACCGCCATTTTTAAATCCCCCTTAGTCCGAACTCCGTGCCTGCGGCTACACACGGAATTAGAATTAAAGATCCTAATTCGAACTACCGTTACTCTTCGATGTCTTTTTTTTTTTTTAATCAGTGGAATAATTTCCCTTGAGATCAAGTCTTAAAAGACAGGTCCAATGTAGGGTTGTAAGCAACTAGTCGACTATCCAATGTGCACTAGGACCCAGCCAGCAGGCACTCCTGAGGCAGCCTGCAAGCTGGGCAGCCCTGTGTTTGAAATTTGAGCTTGTATGTTTCATGCAGGTTCCTGGGCAGGCAGCTGAGGAGGTTCCCTGCTACTTAGGCTTCCACACTGCCCCGGAACCTGCATGAACCATAACAAAAATATCAGTTGCCTTTCTTTGCCTTACCGATATACCACTCATGCTTGGAAGAAGGGAAAGTGATCAGTAACAGTCAACATGGATTCACCAAGTACAAGTCATGCCTGACCAACCCAATTACCTTCTATGACAACTGGCGCTATGGACATGGGAAGGTGGTGGATATAATATACCTTGACTTTAATAAAGCTTTTGATACAGTCTCCCACAAAATCTTTACCAGCAAGTTAAGGAAGTATGGATTGGATAAATGGGCTGGAAGGTAGAAAGAAAGCTGACTAGATCATCAGGTTCAACGGGTAGTGATCAACAGCTCGATTTCTGGTTTGAGGTTGGTATCAAGCAGGGTGCCCTAATGGTCGGTTCTGGGGCTGGTTTTATTCAACATCTTTATTAATCTTCAGAGGGATAGCCGAGTTAGTCTGTAATAGGATAACCTTAAAAAACAACCAATAGTCTAGTAGCACCTTAAAGACTAATAAAACATGTAGATGTTATCATGAGCTTTCGTGGGCAAAACCCACTTCTTCAGATGACCGGAGTATAATAAGTCCAAATCCAAGAATAAATAAGGGGGGGGGGGGAGGAGGGAATACGGGAGTGGAAGAGAAAAAAAGACTGTGAGTAGATAGTTCTAATAGTTACAAGAGGCTGTTAAGAACCATTAGCACCTCCATTGGTTGGTTGGTTAAGTCATTAAAAGTTGGAAGATAGTCTTTATTAATGATCTGGAGGAAGGGATGGATTTCACCCTCAGCAAGTTTGCAGATGACACTAAGCTAGGGGGAAGAGTTAGATATGCTGGAGGGTAGGGAGAGGGTGCAGAGTGATCTGGACGAATTGGAGGATTGGGACAAAATAAATCTGATGAGATTCAACAAGGAGACATGAAGAGTCCTGCACTTGGGACACAAAAATCCCAAGCACTGCTACAAGCTGGCTAAGCAGCAGTTCTGCAGAAAAGGACCTGAGGATTTCAGTGGATGAGAAGCTGGATATGAGTTAACAGTGTGCCCTTGTAGCCAAGAAATATAATGACATATTGGGCTTCATTAGTAGGAGCATTGCCAGCAGATCTAGAGAAGTGATTATTGACCTTTATTTGACAGTGATGAGGCCACATCTGGAGTATTGTGTCGAATTCTGCTTCCCTCCCCCATTATAGAAAGGATGTGGACACACTGGAGAAAGTCCAGCAGAGGGCAAGAAAAACCTTGATTCTTCCATGAATTCTGCAAAAGTAGACCCCTGAAAAACTTCTCACAGGATCAGGGCTGTCATAATCAGGAGGGATGACCAGCTGCCTGGTGGCTAAGGGGTTAATTATATCTCCTGTCCCTTGCCAGGTATCTCGTCAGCCAATAGTAATGCAGGTAGGGATCTCAAACTGGGACAAAGGAATTTTTATCTTTTCAAGTGTCCACCTCTGTTTGTGGTTTCAAAAGCACTTGATGGTGGCAGTGGTCAGCGGATATTCCCCAAAGTCTGGGTATTAGAATTTTGGGGGGAAGTTTTTGTACCAAAGCCTGTAGAGATAAAGTTTTGAGGAGCTTTTGTAGGGTCCCACTTCTGCATTTGTTTTTCCAGAGTGGGGAACAGCCTTGACAAGGGCCATGGACAGCAGTTCCATTTATGAGGAGAGGTTGAGGGATTTGGGCAGAAGAAAAGAGTTGGGGGTAGAGATTTGTTAGCAGCCTTCAACTACCTGAATGGGGGTTTGAGGAAGGCTGTTTTCAGTGGTGACAGATGACAGAACAAGGAACAATGGTCTCAAGTTACAGTGTGGGAGGTCTAGGTTGGATATTAGGAAAAACTATTTCAGTAGAAGGGTGTTGAAGTACTGGAATAAGTTACCTAGGGTATGTCTACACTACAGTGCTAATTCAAACTAAGATAATTCGAATTAGCTCAGCTAGACTTAAAAACTAGTTCGAATTAGTGTTTTGCTAATTTGAACTAGCATGTCCACACAGAGTGGACACCGAACAGAGGTTAAGGATGGCCAGAAGCAGTGCCAGCGGGGCATCAGATGAGGACTTAGAGCGTGGAGCTGCTGTCTCAGGCTAGCCGAGGGCTGTGCTTAAAGGGACCCGACCCCCACCCCGGACAGACAGTTCTCAGGGTTCCCTGCTTGCAAAGCAGTCCTGGCTTGGAGTGCCCTGAGTGCCCACACGCAGAACATCACAGCACTCAGCCATCACCCCGACTGCACTTGCCACAGGCTGCCATCCGGGGGGAGGGGACAATCGGGGGGCTGCAGGAGAGCTTCCACCCCCAGAAGCCCGCAGAGCCAGCCCAGTCCTCCCCATCGGGGGCGCATACCCTATTCCTCCCTCACCTCCTTCCACTTACCCTTCCCTAGCCCCCCTTCCTGATGTACAAAATAAAGAAAAGCCATCACCCCGACTGCACTTGCCACAGGCTGCCATCCGGGGGGAGGGGACAATCGGGGGGCTGCAGGAGAGCTTCCACCCCCAGAAGCCCGCAGAGCCAGCCCAGTCCTCCCCATCGGGGGCGCATACCCTATTCCTCCCTCACCTCCTTCCACTTACCCTTCCCTAGCCCCCCTTCCTGATGTACAAAATAAAGAAAACGTGTGGTCAAAAATAGAATCTTTCTTTATTGAACAAAACTGGGGGAGACTGGGAAAAAGAGGTGGGAGAGGGGAAGAGAGAGGCTGGGAGAGGGGAGGGCAACTAAAATGATCAGGGGTTTGGAACAGGTCCCATATGAAGAGAGGCTAAAGAGACTGGGACTTTTCAGCTTAGAAAAGAGGAGACTGAGGGGGGATATGATAAAGGTCTATAAAAGCA